TATCTGTTGATTCATTTATGTTTGTGCTAATTTTGAAAGCATAAATGATTAAGACTTAGTAATCCATATTTTTATTTTAAAAAGATGAAAGAAAAATATATTGATATAAGAGATTCTCAGGAACCAGAACAATGGATCCTGAGAATCTCTTACATGGACTTTAGAATTTCCAATAATTTTAAAACATTTTTAGCATGCGAGAGCATGGGAACTAGACCATTGTTATACTTCTCATGGAGCTTCACTTTCACCTTGGGGAGTAGTGAATCCAACCAAACCACCTTTGGTGCTTACACAGCCCGCAGTTCTCTAAAACCAGGCTGAAAGGCAGGCAGAGAGCTATGTCTTTGTGAGGGAATCAGCTAATTTTTCTGTTTTTTGAAGTTCTAATTTATCAAGGTTTCATAATATGTCACCAAAAAGTCTCTATTAAAAGAACATTAGTAAGAACATGGTGCCTAAATTAAGTAAGTACATTAGAAACAAGCAAAATAGAAAAGATAAGAGTAGGGAGGAAAGTGTTTTCTTCTCTAATGTAAAGGATATTTCAGTCTGTGGCCTCCTGAAAGTATGAGTCCTACCCACCAAATCCTCAAATATATGTTTACATGACAGGAAGTGCAGAAGAAACAGGGCAAAAATACATCCCAGAGAAGCACAGTACACACTCACCATCATAAATGTAAAATAGAAGTCCATGATACGGATTACTGTACTTCCGTCAGTGTGTCCTGCTACTATGGTCAGGGTCATGGAAATGGATGAAAAAGCCAATGCCAGGAGAGTTAAGAACATGATGAAGAAAGCCTTTACTCCTGGCTAGGATCCTTAAAAAAGAAGGGATTAGTCCAGTGTAGCTCCCTGTGTATTAAGGAATATTTATTGTGCCAATATCAGTATAACATTGAGAAAACAATACTAACAGGACTAAAAAGTCACTCACTATTCCAACACCATAGGTCATCAATTTCATTGCTTCCATCACATAATTGAGAGGGTGTATTATCAGATTTAAGTCCTTATAGACAAATTGCTGTAGGGTTCTATGGTTCAGAATAGGGCTGTTAAGTTTCTTAAACTATTTTATAATTATCATGAGTTAATATTCTGTGTCACATAATCTGAGGATTTGGGAACAGCTACAAGAACACGATGAGGAATCTAGGGCTCTAGATCCCGTGC